GAATTCTGGGAGTTGAAGTCCATGCATCTTAAAGTTGCCAAGGTTGAGAAACACTGCTTTAGCCTCTTGGGATTATAGTTAAAGGGCATTTCTCTGTATGAAGCCTAAATTGATTTGCTTAGTGCTCTGTTTTGTCTTTTTTAATTGTTACATTCTGTCCCATATTAAACATATTTGAGTCTGTTACGTGCTGTTCATGTGACGTTTCATGAAAGTACAAAATGTGACTTTAAGAGGACTGTAAAGAGGTAGCCGTTTTTTGCTGCCCCAAGCCAGAATCTTGCAACTCACTAAACTCTCACAAGAGTCCAGCAATATCATTTTTTTATAGGAGGAGATCTGGGTGTCTGTGACGGGGAACTAGCAACTGAAACTGGTTTCTGTCCTAAGACAACACCCACTCAGCCAGCTTGTGTAGTGATATCATAAATAAGTATATTTCTTGGTTACAGTAATTCAAAGAGAGCAGATATGACCTGACAACTCACCACTGCATTTTTTCCCATAATTTTAAGCAACTCTACAGCATAGTTAAGCTGAAGTGCTTGTCTGATGAATCCTGATACGGTAGGATGAAACCAGTCATGCGGTGCCTCCTGGTGGTCAATATAATGTCAAGTTATTATGTTGTGAGCGTGAAAAATATTGCAAGATTATAGGGCAAAATATATTCAGTCCTTCAGGCTGTACATTTTTTTCTGGGGGTATATCTACGACATTAACTTCACTGTAATTTTAGATATAGTTTTTAGCATCTTCTTTGGAATCAGAGCAGAATTGTAAAATATACTGCAAACGTGCCTCTTCCAGTTTTGTCTTGCAGTGTTATTATGTAGGTTAGCATTTGCAGGTGAGGATCAGTTGAGAGGATGGGAAAACGTTTAAATACCATTCTTACACAATGTTTTCCCCTTTGCTGAGGTCTTCCAACTCCATTTATCTTACCTGGCAAACACAATTAACCAAGATAATGCACACTCTCCCACTCAAAAGAGAAAAATTATCAATATTGTTTAGATTTCGTTGAAGCTTACAACCCAGTAAACTTCAATGAAACCTATACCATACAGTATTAGTATTTTTTCTTTTGAGCAGGAGAAATTCAGACACAAAACAGGACTGTTGAAGAATTAAATTTACTGATTTTTTAAAAATCTGAACATACAAATTTGATCTCTTAGCATCTAAATTCTTGTAATTCTAAAATCTTATAAATGTATATCAGTACTGATTTTAATGCCAGTATTTTACCACTGTATAGTGCTGATATCTCTATGGTGTATAATTTGCCAAAGGTTTCTTAAATATATTATTCTTTGAATATCAGTTCATTCTAAATTGTTGCAATAGCTAGAGTTGCTTTTATTGTGGCCCTTTTCACCTGACATTTTATACACACATGCACACAAAGACCATATAGCTGAGAGTAAGGTGACGCAACCTGTGCATTACCCATTTGTGTGTCAACAAAGGCACACACAAATGTACATGGACAAATACTTTCAGAAAGAAAAGATATCGGTTACAGATACTTACATAAAGAAAACCTTCCCGACCTGTCCATTACTCACCTACTACAGACTCAGGTGACAGGATTGTGCCCCAAACTTCCAGTCACTCGCCATTCTGCAGAGTCACCTGGCCAGTTCAACCCACCATTCTCAACCTCGCCCTCCACAGAGATCATCCTGAATACTTCTCGCCCTCGCCCTCCGCAAAGAAACTCCCAGATATGTTTGCACCTTCAATGGGCTCCCACCTGCAGAGCCTCGTGTGGTGCCTCTAATCCAATGTTTCTCAGCCTTGGCAACTTTAAGATATGTGGACTTCAACTCTCAGAATTCCCCCGCCCGCCCTCGCCGCCGCGGGGGTTCTCGATATTGGGTTTCCCAATATTTTAAAGTTTCCAACGTGAAAAAACATGGATAAAGTGAACGACAGCGGGCG